TGTTCATATTTACCGCAAAACATGTGCATTACACCCTTCAACTTATCGAGGAGGCATTCACATGAATATCGTTCCATTTGTTGCTTCTATAATTTAATTTCAAAACTAACTACTAACTAACATAACTAACTAACTAACTAACTAACTAACTAACTAACTACTAACTAACTAACTAACTAACTAACTAACTACTAACTAACTAACATAACTAACTAACTAACTAACTAACTAACTAACGACTAACTAACTAACTAACTAACTAACTAACTAACTACTAACTACTAACTACTAACTAACTAACTAACTAACTAACTAACTAACTAACTAACTAACTACTAACTAACTAACTACTAACTAACTACTAACTACTAACTAAACTAACTAACTACTAACTAACTAACTACTAACTAACTAACTAACTAACTAACTAACTAACTAACTAACTACTACGAACTAACTAACTAACTATACTACTAACTACTAACTAACTAACTAACTAACTAACTAACTAACTAACTAAACTAACTAACTAACTAACTAACTAACTAACTAACTAACTAACTAACTAACTAACTAACTAACATAACTAACTACCTAACTAACTAACTAACTAACTACTAACTACACTAACTAACTAACTAACTAACTAACTAACTAACTAACTAGCTAACTAACTAACTAACTAACTAACTAACTAACTAACTAACTAACGACTACTAACTACTAACTAACTAACGAACTAACTAACTAACTAAACTAACTAACTAACTAACTAACTACTACTAACTAACTAACTAACTAACTAACTAACTAACTAACTAACTACTAACTAACTAACTAACTAACTAACTAACTAACTAACTAACTAACTAACTACTAACTAACTAACAACTACTAACTAACTACTACAACTAACTAACTAACTAACTAACTACTAACTAACTACTAACTAACTACTAACTAACTAACTAACTAACTACTACTAACTAACTAGCTAACTAACTAACTAACTAACTAACTAACTAACTAACTAACTAACTAACTAACTAACTAACTAACTAACTACTAACTCCTAACTAACTAACTAAATAACTACTAACTAACTAACTAACTAACTACTAACTAACTAAACTAACTAACAAACAAACAAACTAACTAACTAACTAACTACTAACTAACAACCCAAACTAACTAACTAACTAACTAATTAAACTAACTAATAAATAGCTAACTAACGAACTAACTAACTAACTAACTAACTAACTAACTACTAACTAACTAACTAACTACTAACTAACTAACTAACTAACAAACTAACTACCTACCTAACTAACTAAGTACCTAACAATCAAACTAACTAATAAATGCATAAATACCCTATGATGAAGGGTATATATGATTCGTCATCGCTTCATTTTACACTGTTACCTGTTCTCATTCAAATTATTTTTCAACTGCATCCCCGAAAGGCTATATAATCTGCATATTCGGTTTCAGGATATATCAGTAGCAACGTTATATTATTACCAGAAGCATCGTTTGTAAAAAAATGGCAGAAATGAAAGTTTAATAATCTTAGTGATTTGTGCAGCAGCTGCTACAGCACAATATGGATTTGGTTTCCCAGGTCGTGGTCATCGTCATGGTGGACGCGGATATGGTGGTGGTTATGCTCCAGGTGGATTTGGTGGTGGATTTGCTCCGGGTGGATATGGTGGTGGATTTGCTCCCGGTGGTTTTGGTGGTGGATACGGTGGTGCATCTTCGTCTGCCTCGGCATCGGCTGGTGCATCCGGTGGCGGAATAGGTGGACCAGGTGGAATTGCTGGTAGTAATGCGGGTGCTAGTGCAGATGCTTCTTCATCTGGTCAAGGATTTGGCTATGGCCGTTAAGTGGACCTTATCTATATTACGAAATATTTGAACAATAAATGCCGTAAAAAACAGAATTTTCTGTTGAATTTATTCTTAAATAGCTTCAAATTAAAGCGGCTGTTTGGTTAAAGAACGATAATTGAAAAAGATTTCCGTTGACTGTTATATTAATTTCGCTATTAACGATGTATTAATGTGTAACAGTGCCAGTAAAAACAATTCCTTAAATATGATGGGTTGTTTCCTAATGGAGCTGAGTTCCACTAACATCTTCCCTCATAGGTAGTCGATTCAAATTATAGTCTATTGCTTACACAAATGTTCTTCTTAAATATCCAAATCTTCGGGGTTCAGATAGACTAGATTCATTAAATCGGATATATGGCCATCTGCTTTGCTCGGAAAATTAATTCTGAATATGACTAATACCTAAAATGTTGGATTCCAAATTTGTTTAGATATTTTAATAAAATTTAAATTTTACAAATTAATTTTTATATTAATTAAACTGAACTAGAACTGAACAAGAACTGAATAAGAACTGAATAAGAACTGAATAAGAACTGAATAAAACTGAACAAGAACTGAACAAGAACTGAACTAGAACTGAACAAGAACTGAAGTAGAACTGAACTAGAACTGAACTAGAACTGAATTAGAACTGAACTAGAACTGAACTAGAACTGAACTAGAACTGAACTAGAACTGAACTAGAACTGAACTAGAACTGAACTAGAACTGAACTAGAACTGAACTAGAACTGAACTAGAACTGAACTAGAACTGAACTAGAACTGAACTAGAACTGAACTAGAACTGAACTAGAACTGAACTAGAACTAGAACTGAACTAGAACTGAACTAGAACTGAACTAGAACTGAACTAGAACTGAACTAGACTGAACTAGAACTGAACTAGAACTGAACTAGAACTGAACTAGAACTGAACTAGAACTGAACTAGAACTGACTAGAACTGAACTAGAACTGACTAGAACTGAACTAGAACTGAACTAGAACTGAACTAGAACTGAACTAGAACTGAACTAGAACTGAACTAGACTGAACTAGAACTGAACTAGAACTGAACTAGAACTGAACTAGAACTGAACTAGAACTGAACTAGAACTGAACTAGAACTGAACTAGAACTGAACTAGAACTGAACTAGAACTGAAACTAGAACTACTACTGAACCTAGAACCTGAACTAGAAACTGAACCTAGAACTGAACTAGACTGAACTGAACTTAGAACTGAACTAGAACTGAACTAGAACTAACTAGACTGAACTAGAACTGAACTAGAACTGGAACTAGAACTGAAACTAGAACTGAACTAGAACGGAAAACTAGAACTGAAACTAGAGACGAACTAGGAAATGAACTAGAACTGAACTAGAACCTAGAACTGACTAGAAACTGACGAGAACGGAACTAGAACTGAACTAGAACTGAACTAGAACTGAACTAGAACTGAAACTAGAACTGAAACTAGAACCTGAACTAGAAACTGAACTAGAACTGAACTAGAAACAGAACTAGAAACTGAACTGGAAACTGAACTAGAACTGAACTAGAACTGAACTAGAACTGAACTAGAACTGAACTAGAACTGAACTAGAACTAGAAACTAGAACTAGAACTATGACTGAACTAAGAACTGAACTAGAACTGACCTAGAACTGAACTAGAACTTGAACTAGAACTGAACTAGAACTGAACTAGACTGAACTAGAACTGAACTAGAACTGAACTAGGAAACTGTAACTAGAACTGAACTAGAACTGAACTAGAACTGAACTAGAACTGAACTAGAACTGAAACTAGAACTGAACTTAGAACTGAACTAGAACTGAACTAGAACCTGAACTAGAAACTGAACTAGAACTGAACTAGAACTGAACTAGAACTGACTAGGAACTGAACTAGAACTGAACTAGAACTGTACTAGAACTGAACTAGAACTGAACTAGAACTGAACTAGGAACTGAACTAACGAACTGAATGAACTAGAACTGAAACTAGAACTGAACTAGAACTGCACTAGAACTGAACTAGAACTGAACTAGAACTAGAACTATGACCTGAACTGAATGAACTGACTGAACCTAGAACTGAACTTTAACTGAACTAATGAACTAGAACTGAACTAGAACTGACTAGAACTGAACTAGAACTGAACTAGACTAACTAGAACTGAACTAGAACTGAACTAGAACTGAACTAGAACTGAACTAGAACTGAACTAGAACTGAACTAGAACTGAACTAGAACTGAACTAGAACTGAACTAGAACTGAACTAGAACTGAACTAGAACGAACTAGAACTGAACTAGAACTGAACTAGAACTGAACTAGAACTGAACTAGAACTGAACTAGAACTGAACTAGAACTGAACTAGAACTGAACTAGAACTGAACTAGAACTGAACTAGAACTGAACTAGAACTGAACTAGAACTGAACTAGAACTGAACTAGAACTGAACTAGAACTGAACTAGAACTGAACTAGAACTGAACTAGAACTGAACTAGAACTGAACTAGAACTGAACTAGAACTGAACTAGAACTGAACTAGAACTGAACTAGAACTGAACTAGAACTGAACTAGAACTGAACTAGAACTGAACTAGAACTGAACTAGAACTGAACTAGACTAGAACTGAACTAGAACGAACTAGAACTGAACTAGAACTGAACTAGAACTGAACTAGAACTGAACTAGAACTGAACTAGAACTGAACTAGAACTGAACTAGAACTGAACTAGAACTGAACTAGAACTGAACTAGAACTGAACTAGAACTGAACTAGAACTGAACTAGAACTGAACTAGAACTGAACTAGAACTGAACTAGAACTGAACTAGAACTGAACTAGAACTGAACTAGAACTGAACTAGAACTGAACTAGAACTGAACTAGAACTGAACTAGAACTGAACTAGAACTGAACTAGAACTGAACTAGAACTGAATTAGAACTGAACTAGAACTGAACTAGAACTGACTAACTGACCTAGAACTGAACTAGAACTGAACTAGAACTGAACTAGAACTGAACTAGAACTGAACTAGAACTGAACTAGAACTGAACTAGAACTGAACGAGAACTGAAATAGAACTGAACTAAACTGAACTAGAACTGAACTAGAACTGAACTAGACTGAACTAGAACTGACTAGAACTGAACTAGAACTGAACTAGAACTGAACTAGAACTGAACTAGAACTGAACTAGAACTGAACTAGAACTGAACTAGAACTGAACTAGAACTGAACTAGAACTGAACTAGAACTGAACTAGACTGAACTAGAACTGAACTAGAACTGAACTAGAACTGAACTAGAACTGAACTAGAACTGAACTAGAACTGAACTAGAACTGAACTAGAACTGAACTAGAACTGAACTAGAACTGAACTAGAACTGAACTAGAACTGAACTAGAACTGAACTAGAACTGAACTAGAACTGAACTAGAACTGAACTAGAACTGAACTAGAACTGAACTAGAACTGACTAGAACTGAACTAGAACTGAACTAGAAACTGAACTAGAACTGAACTAGAACTGAACTAGAACTGAACTAGAACTGAACTAGAACTGAACTAGAACTGACCTAGAATGAACTAGAACGAACTAGAACTGAACTAGACTGAACTAGAACTGAACTAGAACTGAACTAGAACTGAACTAGAACTGAACTAGAACTGAACTAGAACTGAACTAGAACTGAACTAGAACGAACTAGAACCTGAACTAGAACTGAACTAGAACAACTGAACTAGAACTGAACTAGAACTGAACTAGAACTGAACTAGAACTGAACTAGAACTGAACTAGAACTGAACTAGAACTGAACTAGAACTGAACTAGAACTGAACTAGAACTGAACTAGAACTGAACTAGAAACTGAACTAGAACTGAACTAGAACTGAACTAGAACTGAACTAGAACTGAACTAGATATGAACTAGAACTAAAGTAAGTAAGAACTAAGTAAGAATATCGAAGCTGTTTTTATACCCTACACCACTTTAGTGGGGAGGGTATATTGGATTTGTGCTGATGTTTGTAACATACAAAAATATTCGTCCTAGACCCACCTTAAAGTATACCAATCGGCTTAGAATCGTTTTCTGAGTCGATTAAGCTATGTCCGTCCGTCCGTCCGTCCGTCCGTCCGTCTGGCAGGCTGGCTGGCTGGCTGTCCATGTAAACCTTGTGCGCAAGGTACAGGTCGCAATTTTCAAGATAATGGATGAAATTTGGCACGCACGTTTTATTTGACCCAAGGACGAAGCCTATTGAAAATGGTTGAAATCGGTCCATTATTTCACCTAGCCCCCATAGAACAGAACCCCCCGAAAAGGGCTTTTGAGCTCATAATTTTGTTAAATTTACAGATATATCGATAAAATGCGGCACAACTAAGTTTTATAGAAGTCTGGATGACCCTGCCAAATTTCATAAAGATCGGGTCCCATTTGACCCTAGCTCCCATACAAAGTCCCCTTCAGAAAATTACTTGAATGTCCCAAATTAACTTATAAACACAAATATCGCGATGAAATTTAGCACAATAAAATATTATGTAAATATAAATATATTCACAAAATTTTATCGGGCTTGGTCCATATTTGCCCCTAGCCCCCATATAAAGCCTCTTTCAGAAAATTAGATTTTCATCCATAAATTGCTTAAATGTATCGGAACAAGGGAATATTGAAGATAAATGCTTTATTATGAAAAATAAATCACATTTAATATTCATAACTGGTGTAGGGTATCATATGGTCGGCCACGCCCGACTATACTTTCTTACTTGTTTACTATAAAATTGTTTTACCTATCCTAAGATCTCAAAACAATTGTAGGTTGATATTAAGTAAGAAGATATAATAATAAATAAGATATTAAGTAATAATAAATTGTTCTTACCAATCCTGAGACCTTATAACAATCAGATGTATTATTAATATTTATTCCTAAACTTTTTGGGCGCATTAGCAAAACAATGCTGTGGATCTTGGCTTGTCACGAAAAATATTCGGATTCAAATAAAAGAGTATTTTTTTTTGCTCTTACAAACAACGCAAGTGGTGAAAACCCAACACCGAAAAAATTCCCAGAAAGTAAAATTTTACGTTTTTCTGATTATTTATCAAATGAGTTACTTTCCAATCCCGGGTTTAATAACTAATTAATTTTTAAATAAAATGAAACCGATAATATGTATATATGAAATAAATATTTGTTTGTTTTTATTTTGCTCTCCCAAATCGTATCTCTTGAATTATTTCTAAAAATTTTGTGTGTATAATAAAATAACTATAAATTCTTAATATTATTTAACAAATTAAATCAGTAGCAAATTTTAATTACTCCCAGAGACATCGTTTTAAAACAAAAGAATACAAATGAAAATTATAATAATCTTAGCAGTTTGGGTGGCTGTTGCAGCAGCACAATTTGGTGGTTTCGGTTTTGGTCCACGTCCTATTTTTGGTCCACGTCCAGGCATTGGTGTGGGGCCTGGTTTTGGAGGTATTGGTCCACGTCCAGCTATTGGTGTTATTCCTGGTTTTGGTGGTGTGCCCAATTTTGGTGTTGGACCTGGTTTTGGTGGTGCCAATAATAATAATCAAGGTTCTAATCCCAATAGTGGAGCGGCCATTACATTTCCCGATACTAATTCTAATACGGCAGCCCGAGGCTAAAAGCTTTGTTTCTTTTGTCTGTGATATATAGTATTTTTAATAAAGTTTTGTTATTTTAATATAGAATTAAAATTTGTTGAGTTTTTGTTCATATTTTAGGTTACGTGAAATAATTTGTTTTTTTTTTTAACTTTTTATTAGAGGAATTTATTACAAATATTTCAAAATCCTGTTTTGCAAAATACAATAGCAAAATAAAAATTTCAAAAATATATATTACGTTTCTATGATTTGTGATGACAAGTTTAACCAGAACTCATTTGTATAAAAAATTGCTACAAAACCAATGTACGTAACAATTGAATAGAATGTTTTATTAAAATAATATATTTAAAAACAATAACAAATCAAATTTTATCTCCGTAATCCAATTTTTATATTAGAAAGTGTATATAATCTGAATAATGAAAACAGAATCAAATCAGTGACTTATTGTAATTACTGCTAGAGACATCGTTTAAAACGAACTGTAAGAAATGAAGACATTCTTTATCTTACTACTTTGCGTGGCGGCCGCAATTGCACAATTTTTCCCCTTTGGCGGTGGTTATGGTGGAGGTGGTGGTTTTGGTCGCGGTGGTGCTATTTCCAATTCTCAAGCTGGCTCTCAAGCGTTTAATCGTCAGCTCAACTTTGGTGGTGGCCTCTTTCCATCATTTGGAATAGGTGTTTCGGGATCCGATGCATATGCTAATTCTGCATCGCGTGGCGGCGGTGGAGGTGGCTTTTATGGCTAGGTATACTATTATTAAATTTGTGTAAACTTTTTAAATCACTAATTAAAACTTTTTTTATAGTTTAATTACTGAAGAAAAGAGGAGATGGTCACTGTTAAATCTTCATAATAAGTTTTTTTTAATATATTATTTTTTGGATAAGCCTAAATTTATTTAATAGTATATCTTGTTAAAAATATTGGCAATCATTTATCTGTATAATAAAATTTTACACATACATATGATTAGAGAACATATTAGGAAAATATATACACAGTAGGGTATAATTAATATGTTTTTCTCATAAATTTTTATACCCACCATCAAAAAAGATGGGGGGTATATTGATTTTGTCATTCCGCTTGTAACACATTGAAATATTGATCATAGATTATTCTGGGTCCTTATTAAATTCTGAGACGATCTAGTTGAAAGCACGATAGAGTTCGAAAGAGAGGAGCTAAGGAGCTGAAATTTTGCACAAATATTTTTTATCCATGGAATTTGTTTGATATTTAAAATGGGCCATATCAGTTCATGTTTTCGCATAGTCCCCATACAAGTGGCGATTTTAGTTTTCTCATGTTTTTTGACGAAAAAATCGAATTTTGAGGGAAAATATGAGTGATCACAAAATAAGCTTATTTTTCAATTTAAACGTGTTTAAACGAAGTTACAGGCGATTTTAGTTTTCTCATGAGTTTTGACGAAATAATCGATTTTTAAAAGAATAATATGAGTGATCACAAAATAAGCTTATTTTTCAATTTAAAGGTGTTTTAACGAAGTTATAAGCGATTTTAGCTTTTTCATGTTTTTTGATCAAATAATCGATTTTTGAGGGAAAATATGAGTGATCACCAAATGAGCTTATTTTTCAATTTAAACGTGTTTTAACGAAGTTACAGGCGTTTTTAATTTTCTGATGTATTTTGACAAAAAAATCGATTTTTGAGAAAAAATATGAGTGACCACAAAATAAGCTTATTTTTCAATTTAAACGTGTTTTAACGAAGTTACCGGCGATTTTAGTTTTCTCATGTTTTTTGACGAAAAAATTGATTTTTGAGGAAAAATATGAGTGATCACAAAATAAGCATATTTTTCAATTTAAACGTGTTTTAACGAAGTTACAGGCGTTTTTAGTTTTCTCATGTTTTTGACCATATAATCGATTTTTGAGGGAAAATATGATTGATCACAAAATAAGCTTATTTTTCAATTAAAACGTGTTTTAACGAAGTTACAGGCGTTTTTAGTTTTCTCATGTTTTTGACCAAATAATCGATTTTTGAGGGAAAATATGATTGATCACAAAATAAGCTTATTTTTCAAATTAAACGTGTTTTAACGAAGTTACAGGCGTTTTTAGTTTTCTCATGTTTTTTGATCAAATAATCGATTTATGAGGGAAAATATGAGTGATCACAAAATAAGCTTATTTTTCAATTTAAACGTGTTTTAACGAAGTTACTGGCGTTTTTAGTTTTCTGATGTATTTTGACTAAAAATCGATTTATGAGGGATAATATGAGTGATCACCAAATAAGCTTATTTTTCAATTTAAACGTGCTTTAACGAAATTACAGGCGTTTTTAGTTTTTTCATGTTTTTTGATCAAATAATCGATTTATGAGGGAAAATATGAGTGATCACCAAACAAGCTTATTTTTCAATTTAAACGTGTTTTAACGAAGTTACAGGCGTTTTTAGTTTTCTGATGTTTTTATACCCTCCACCACCATCAGTGGTGATAGAGGGTATATATAACTTTGTCATTCCGTGTGTAACACCAAGAAATATTCATCTGAGACCCAACAAAGTATATATATTCTGGGTCCTTATCAAATTCTGAGTCGATTTAGCTATGTCCGTCTGTCCGTCTGTCTGTGTAAAACACGCTCACGATAAAACGAAGCAATAGAGCTTAACCAAATTCACCCAAAATGTTCTTCATATTCCTAAGTTGTTTGGTATTGCAAATGGGCAAAATCGGTTCACACAGGGAAAAGTTATGAATCAAAATTTAAAACAACCTCGGAAAAAAATAAGCATTTTTTACACATTCTGATGTAATTTTCTCGAAAACTATGCAAGATAATTCCATGGAAATCACCATACATTCGTTTCTGCACAAGATCTTGATTCCTGCTGAAAATTGCCAGAATCGGTCCACAATTTCATATACCTCCCATACAAAAGTACATATTCCCGGAAAATGGGTTTTTTGTTAATAACTTCTGCCACAATGTCGATATCTTCACAAAATTTTACAAATTAAAATCTTATGACAATAGAATTCTTTCAGAGGAAAAATTTTATGGATCGGTCCATAATTGGACATAGCTCCCATACAAGGTCCCCTCTCGAAAATCACTTAAACGCGCATAACACATTACTAAATTAAGATATCCATATAAGGTTTGGTATAATTATTGCCCATGTGCATAGAAATGTTACTGTGAAATTTTTTTCCGATCGGTCCATAATTGGTCATAGCTCCCATACAAGGTCCCCTCCCGAAAATCACTTAAACGCGCATAACTCATTACTTAATTAAGATACCCATATAAAATTTGGTATAAGTATTGCTCATATGCATAGAAATATTACTGAAAATTTTTTTCCTATCGGTCCATAATTGGTCATAGCTCCCATACAAGGTCCCCTCCCGAAAATCACTTAAACGCGCATAACTCATTACTTAATTAAGATACCCATATGGTACAAATATTACTCATATGCACAGAAATATTACAGATAATTTTTTTTTCCGATCGGTCCATAACTGGTCATAGCTCTCATACAAGGTCCCCTCCCGAAAATCACTTAAACGCACATAACTCATTACTAAATTAAGATATCCATATTAAGTTTGGCAGAAATATTGCTCGTATACAGAGAAATATTACTGTGAATTTGTTTTCCTATCGATCCATAATTGATCATAGCTCCCATACAAGGTCCCTTTCAGAAAAACACTTAAAGGCACATAACTCATTACTAAATAATGATATAAATAAATACTATTTTTGTTCATAAATACTATTTTGTAATGCAAAAAGCACTTAATGCTATTTCAAAAATTTTTCACGATCGGTCTATATTTGGTCATATCTCTCATACTAGGTCCTGCCCCTAAAAGCGCTTTAACCGTATTTAACTATTTGCATTATCAATTTGTGTAGAACAAAATTATATATATATATGTATTTTTAAAATCCTTAAATCTTTCACACACATGCATACATGCAAATACGAGATATCGCTAAAGCATATCTAAGGGCGCTATAAAAATTTAAATGAAAGTGGCGTTTCTAATGTTCAATAAATCTTGGAAGTGTAGTACATTTAAGCTGTTTAAATCTTGGGATTTTTCTATTTAAGACATGAGAAAACTTATTTCTACAAATATTTTATTAATTAGAAATGTATTAATACAAAAGTTGCTGGTGGAGGGTATTTAAGATTCGGCTCAGCCGAATATAGCACTCTAACTTGTTTGACTAAAAAATCGCTTTTTGAGGGAAAATATGAGTGATCACAAAATAAGCTTATTTTTCAATTTAAAGGTGTTTTAACGAAGTTACAGGCGTTTTTAGTTTTCTGATGTTTTTTGACCAAATAATCGACTTTTGAGGGAAAATATGAGTGATCACAAAATAAGCTTATTTTTCAATTTAAACGTGTTTTAACGAAGTTACAGGCGTTTTTAGTTTTCTGATGTTTTTTGACTAAAAAATCGCTTTTTGAGGGAAAATATGAGTGATCACAAAATAAGCTTATTTTTCAATTTAAAGTTGTTTTAACGAAGTTACAGGCGTTTTTAGTTTTCTGATGTTTTTTGACCAAATAATCGACTTTTGAGGGAAAATATGAGTAATCACAAAATAAGCTTATTTTTCAATTTAAACGTGTTTTAACGAAGTTACAGGCGTTTTAGTTTTCTGATGTTTTTTGACCAAATAATCGACTTTTGAGGGAAAATATGAGTAATCACAAAATAAGCTTATTTTTCAATTTAAACGTGTTTTGACTAAGTTACAGGCGTTTTTAGTTTTTTCATGTTTATTTAATAAAAAATCGATTTTTGAGGGAAAATATGAGTGATCACAGAATAAGCTTATTTTTCAATTTAAACGTGTTTTAACGAAGTTACAGGCGTTTTTAGTTTTCTCATGTTTTTTTGACCAAATAATCGATTTATAAGTGAAAATATGAGTGATCACAGAATAAGCTTATTTTTCAATTTAAACGTGTTTTAACGAAGTTACAGGCGTTTTT